AGCAACAAGTCAGTAACTGAATCGCATCTCCAGCATGACAGCGCAAAGTCTCATTCTGACCTGACCTCTACATACAAGACCTTCACTGATGCTTTGACCTTGTCAACGATCGATAATACTTTACACGAGTGTTTACACAAGCTGTTAGGGTTAACTCTGCTGGATAAGGAACGTTGACTTTCCAAACACTTTTTTTTTTTTACTTGAAGGTGCGAAAGTCCAAAAGAGTACAACCTTCTGTAACCCAGTAAAACACATTCATACTCGTGTACGTGACAGATGCCTTTCTTGTTTCGCCCAAGTCTAATTGGTTGGCCCTTTTTTCTTCTTCAGTTCAAACTGAATTCCAATATTCTTGTAATGAGAAAGAGAAATTGTGACGTGGACTAAAGGGGGAGGGGGCAGAGGTTAAACTACCAAATACCGCAAGGATCAACTTACGGTCGTCTCGTATAACATAGAAACAGAGCAATCACGAGTTTCTTTACATTCCTGGACGTGTTTGAGCATTACTTAAAGTTCTTGGAACACTTTCTGTTGCTCTCGGGGCTCCAAAAGTTATCAGATATGGTTCGCTGCTGTGTTATAAACATTCAAAATTTAGAATGGCTTACAGCATGTTACAGATAAATCTTTCCGAATGACGTATTTCGCTGTAAAAACATGTGTTTATTATATTTTGCGTTGTTTCTTCGTTTGTTGAATTTCGCGCAAACCTACTCGAAGTCTATCTGCGCTAGCCGTCCCTAATTCAGATGTGATAAACTAGAACGATGGTAGCTAGTCAACATCATCCACCGCCAACTCTTAAACAACGAATAGCAGGATTGACCGTAACGTTATAACGCCTCCATGGCGAACATTTTCGGTGACAGGATTCGAACTCGCGAACCGCAGATTGCGAGTCGAGCGTCCCCTAGCCACCAGGTCGTGTTCTGTTTTGAAAAGGCAGTGTTTTTTACGTTAACTTGTACCTGGTGTAATAATGTTAACAACTTTAAAAGTTCAAATCAAATAGCAGTCAAACGTAGAAAGCCATAAAATTATTACTCATACACACCGTAACAGAAGAAACATCCGATGTAATTAAACTTTTAAATGTAAGACTGGAACTTACAAAAACAATAAACGTATGCTATCTTGATAAACATATTTTGTACACCTTCTGTTACTTACAACAGTTTAAATCTCTATATTCTCTAACTCCAAGTCGCTTTTCAAGGAGACCTGCGACAATTTCCCCCAACAACTTTACACTGACAGGATGGTTTGCTGTATACATCTGTTTGTGTATGTCTGAGATCACACGTCGGTTCTTGGTGTGACATGTATTTTTATACTGTATCCGCGGTTATTCATTTCTCTCAGAGATAATTTTCACCATAACAAGAATGATTACTCCCCACCCTACAGGGCTGGTTCTCCACAGGTAAAACACTAGTCTCTTAAACCGAACTAAACTTTCAGTAAAAAACTACTCTCCAACCCAATCTCAATTATCATGGAGTTATCCTGCATTTTCTACCCTCTGGATAGAATTTCTACATAAAATGTATATGTAAAACTACTCTCTGCCCTAGGATTGGTTCTCACGGTGACGTGTATATGTAAAATTACTCTCTGCTCTAGGATTGGTTCTCACGGTGACGTGTATATGTAAAATTACTCTCTGCTCTATGATTGGTTCTCACGGTGACTTGTATGTGTGTAACGTTACTCTCTACCCTAGGATTGGTTCTCAAGGTGACGTGTATATGTAAAATTACTCTCTGTAGGATTGGTTCTTAAGGTGACGTATATGTGTGTAACGTTACTCTCTACCCTAGGATTGGTTCTTAAGGTGACTTGTATGTGTGTAATATTACTTTCTACCCTAGGACTGGTTCTTAAGGTGACTTGTATGTGTGTAACGTTACTCTCTACCCTAGAATTGGTTCTTAAAGCGACTTGTATGTGTGTAATATTACTCTCTACCCTAGGATTGGTTCTTAAGGTGACTTGTATGTGTGTAACACTTCTCTCTACCCTAGGATTGGTTCTTAAGGTGACGTATATGTGTGTAACATTACTCTCTACCCTAGGATTGGCTCTTAAGGTGACTTGTATGTGTGTAACATTACTCTCTACCTTAGGATTGGTTCTTAAGGTGACTTGTATGTGTGTAACATTACTCTCTACCCTAGGATTGGTTCTTAAGGTGACTTGTATGTGTGTAACATTACTCTCTACCCTAGGATTGGTTCTTAAGGTGACGTATGTGTGTGTAACATTACTCTCTACCTAGGATTGGTTCTTAAGGTGACGTATGTGTGTGTAACATTACTCTCTACCTAGGATTGGTTCTTAAGGTGACGTACGTGTGTGTAACATTACTCTCTACTCTAGGATTGGTTCTTAAGGTGACGTATGTGTGTGTAACATTACTCTCTACCCTAGGATTGGTTCTTAAGGTGACGTATGTGTGTGTAACATTACTCTCTACTCTAGGATTGGTTCTTAAGGTGACTTGTATGTGTGTAACATTACTCTCTACCCTAGGATTGGTTCTTAAGGTGACTTGTATGTGTGTAACATTACTCTCTACCCTGGGATTGGTTCTTAGATGATTTTTCATATGAAGAGCAAGTTTTTCTAAACTTTTTTTTAACAATACGAGAATTTCCAAACAAAAATACTTATTTTCTCTTCCCACAAATAAAAGACGATTATCTGTACTGCCGAAGTACACACGAATGTATTCTATACTGCCGAAGTACGCACAAATGTATTTACACTGTAACACATGTAGTACTATCATACACATTTTGACCCTTGTTTCACCAATTTTGCACAAAGCTACACAAGGGGCTATATACGCATAGCTGTCCCTAATTTTGAACTGACACAGGCTAGAGGAAAGGTAGTTAATCAACAACGCCCACCGTGAACTCTTGAGCCGCTCTTGTCTGAATGAATTGTGACATTTGACCACAACTCTTACAATGAGAATCGCACTTTTACGACGAAGAGCCGCGAACCATGAACTATCGGATTTAGTCTCAGAATGCTAACCATCCACAACACAACATGAAAATTCCTTAAAACAAACTTATTAACAACTTTGCTGTCGATTCTGCAACGAGAAAACATTCAATAAGAATGTCTTAGAGGAACTAACTTCTTAGTCGCAATATACCAGTTTCTGACGACCGTTATCAACACGAAAGGCGGAGGACTACGTCATCAATGCCAAACAAATTACTGAAATCCCCATCAAATCAAACCAGAATCGATAATATATGTGATGGGAATGGAGCATAGATTTTGGGTCGCTTGAGATAAAGGAGTTCGGTTAGAAGGAGTCTTTATAGAAACGATAAATTTTTAAGTAGTTAGTCGAAATACTACAAATTACCCTTCAATATCTTAAGCTGCTTATACAGAAAACGATGACGTCAGCAAAATCACAATACAAGGTCTTCCCAGAATACTTCTTTATTGCGCTTCTAAGTCCATTACACATATATAAAAAGATAAAACAGCTGTTAGTGCAACACATAAGCTATGTCAACATCAGTTATATCGGATAAGCTACTGGGATGACTAAACTGATTTGTTTGTTTTGAATTTCGAGCAAAGTCTCACGAGGGCTATCTGTGCTAGGCGTCCCTAATTTAGCAGTAATGGACTAGAATGAACGCAGCTAGCCAACTCTTGGGCTACTCTTTTTTACCATCGAATAGTGGGATTGACCGTCACATTATAACACCCCCACGGCTAAAAGGGTGAGAATGTTCCGTGAAGGAGATTCGAACCATCGAAAACTAGACGGAAAGAAACTAATGAACAGTATCCACCATCAATTTCCTGGCTACTCTTCTCTCATCTAACACCTAGATTTAACCGTCACCCTTAAAACGTACCAAACTCTCTGGCTACTCTTCTCTCACCTAATACCGAGATTTGACCGTCACCCTTAAAACGTACCAAACTCTCTGGCTACTCTTCTCTCACCTAACACCTAGATTTGACCGTCATCCTTAAAACGTACCCAACTCTGGCTATTTTTCTCTCACCTAACACCTAGATTTGACCGTCACCCTTAAAAAGTACCAAACTCTCTGGCTACTCTTCTCTCACCTAACACCTAGATTTGACCGTCACCCTTAAAACGTACCAAACTCTCTGGCTACTCTTCTTTCATCTAACACCGAGATTTGACCGTCACCCTTAAAACGTACCAAACTCTCTGGCTACTCTTCTCTCACCTAACACCGAGATTTGGCCGTCACCCTTAAAACGTACCAAACTCTCTGGCTATTTTTCTCTCACCTAACACCGAGATTTGGCCGTCACCCTTAAAACGTACCAAACTCTCTGGCTACTCTTCTCTCACCTAACACCGAGATCTGACCGTCACCCTTAAAACGTACCCCCGGTCCCAAAGTGTAAAGCATGATCATTATTCTTTGCAAACGAAGTAATCACAGATCCGTGGTTCAGTAGCCCACCAACTGGATCACTGGGAAGATAACCCCTAAGAACTGTAGTAATATCCCCACAGTCCATTTAAGACACATATAGATGGACAGAAAGCAAAAAACAACAACAACAACAAAATTAATAGTTTGATACAATACAAACACAGAAGGCAGTATACGAGAATAAAACAAGGAGAGTTTTCCTTAAACAATACCTGTCTTATGTCTCAACTTCAGCATGTATTTATTTCAAGAATATCAGTTTCCCTACAATTACTAGGATACATAAAGTTAGGTTATAATAATAATAAAAATAGATTTAACATTATTTTGTGCACTAACCTTCTATGGTACGTATTGACAACTGTGGTTGAATTAAATTTAAAACCGGATTTATTCATTTATAACCCCGATTTTTTTTTGGCTAGAAGATTACAAATATCCATGACATCATGATTCTGAAAAATTTCCGGGGTTGAAAAGTCGCTATCAGTACCTTAAAGTAACATTAAACATGTCAAACATATAGCCAACTCTTACCTTCTGCAACCATCTCAGTGAAGACTGTGCTACCATCTGGTGGCGAATACTATGGACAGAGTCAGTTAAAGCGACAGCAAAAACTCGGTCATGGAAAAACTTTTCGAACTTCTTAACCTGAAAAAAAAGTATTCATTGGAAAACGCGAATCTTGTACAGACACACTCTGAAATGTAGGGGAAGAAACTAAAACAAACCACGAACATGGATATGGTATTTAATAGTTGTTTTATTTAAGTTTCCATGTTCGAACTATTAAATACCATAT